GGGCCCCGGGGGCGGGGGGGGGCGCCCTGGGCCGGCCGGAGCGCGTCGGTTCGCGCGGGAGGCGGTGGAAAGAGTGGCGAGAGGGCCAGCCGGCTGTGCTCGCAGCTGGAGCTGTCGGAGTTTGTGTCATGGCGGGTCTGGACGAGGGCAAGTGGGCAGCGAGGACCAGACGAGGTGACGGAAGGCGGCTCGATGATGGAATGTGTGGCGAAGACCAAGCTAGGCCAGGGGCCGCGCGATCTGTGTGTTTTGGGGCGGGGCAGGTGGCCGCCAAGTTGGCCGGCGAGACAATCTAGGAAACATTCCTGAGAGGACCAGGATGGGGCTCCCAGTGCTTCAGACCAGGTGTGCTTGGTGCAGTGCAGTGGGCCGGGCTTCTGAGGTTTTCAGATGAGGAACGATGTGTGGGCTGGCCTGTGAGGGGAGGTTGGAGCTCCTCCCTGGCGGGTGGTGATGGGGGGTGCGGGAAGGGGGGCCGTGATGGACAGAACCTGCGAAGGTCTCCCAACACCTGAAGGTGCTAGTCCGTCTCCCTCCCACATTGCATTGGGTCAGGCTTCCTCGCTGGACCAGTGAGTAATTGGAGCAGGCACGCGGCCCTGCTTTGCTGCCTTGTGAGCACTTGACTCCTGTAATGCTCATAGCAATGTTATGAGTCAGAGATGATGATGATGAGCTCCATTTTCCAGGTGGGAAAACCAAGGCCTGGGAGGAGGTTTGTGATCTCTGTTTGAAGCTCTGTCCTTCCTTCCTTTCTGCCCTGCCCTCCCCATCAGCTGGTTCTGCTGGAACTCAACTTCCTGCCAACCACAGGGACCAAACTGACCAAACAGCAGCTCATTCTGGCCCGTGAGTGCCACTGGGGCTGGGGGGGGCGGGGAGAAGGGTAACGCAGGAGTGGTAGCAGTGGTGGTGGTTTGGGGGACTCATTTACCTCCTGACAACCTGCCTGCCACCCACAGGTGACATACTGGAAATTGGGGCCCAGTGGAGCATCCTCCGCAAGGACATCCCCTCCTTCGAGCGCTACATGGCCCAGCTGAAATGCTATTATTTTGATTACAAGTGAGTTTGATCCTGCCCCACTGGGTAGTGGGGGGTGTGAGAGCCACGGCGGTTACACAGCAGCGTTAGTCTGGTGTTCCTGCCGTTCCGGTTATCTCCCTTCACCAGGAACGCTGCCTTTGCCTGCCCTCTCCTCAGAGACTGAGGGGATAGGCTTGGCTTGGAGGGCCTCAGTCTGGGTTTGGGATCTGGTCTCTTCTGGCCTCCAGTCTGTCCCCCTCTTCCACCCAGCCTTGCCCCCAACCCGTGGGATCTAAAATTTGACCACATTGAGCCGCACCCCCCCCCCCCCCAACCTGTCGTGGCCCTCGATGGCCCCTAGGCTCTAGATGGAGCTCGTTCTGTGGCCTCCGGCACTGAATCTGCCCTGACCCCTCTCCCTGTGCTTCTCTGTCCGGCTCTGTCTCTCCTGCTGGACCATGAGTCTTGTAAAGGCAGAGGCTGTCTTGGTCACCGCTGGTCCCCAGACTGTAGCCTGGGGCTAGGCCCAGGGCAGGGACTCCCAGGACATGGATTACTGATTGAGATTTTGACATTGGTGGTCAGACAAACCTGAGTTTGAAAATAATATTTCCACTTCCTATTGATGTGGTCTTGGACAAATGACCTGTCCAAGTCTCTGTTTCCCCATTGAAGCCAGGGTAATCATTCTCTGTGTCGTAATCACGGTCAATACTTAAACAGTATGTATTTGTACACGTACTATTCTAATCATTGCACGTGGAGGTTAAATGTTTTAATTCTTATAACCCCGTATTCACTGATCTTACTTCTGGGGTGAATGTTGTGGTGACGTCCATTTTATAGTTCGGGAAACTGAGACTGAGTCTTTTCTGAAGTGAAGTTTCTTGTTTGGGCCCTTGTGACTCCTGACTTATTCATGTCTCTCTGGGCTTCATGTCTGAAAACCCAGGAGCGGCTATCCCTGCAAGAGGACAGTCTGGGACAGTCACCTGGGTCCCCGGAACCTGCCGTGGGGTGCTTGGTGGGTACCTGAGCTCACTTTACCTTGGTTTGGTCCACAGGGAACAGCTCCCCGAGTCAGCTTACATGCACCAGCTCTTGGGCCTCAACCTCCTCTTCCTGCTGTCCCAGAACCGAGTGGCCGAGTTCCACACAGAGCTGGAGCGGCTGCCTGCCAAGGACATCCAGACCAACGTGTACATCAAGCACCCTGTGTCCCTGGAGCAAGTGAGCCTGGGAGGGGAGGCGAGGGCCCGGCAGGGGGCTGGTGCAGGCACTGACCTGAGGGAGGGTTTCCTAGTGAAGTGGCCGAGCCACCACACCCACCTTTCAGCCCGTGGACGCATTTGTTCGGCGGACACGGAGCCCAAGCCCTGTCGGAGGACAGGAGCCAGACACTGGTCGGTTTTCAGGCTGCACAGTGAGCGGAGCGGCTTGAGCCCTAATCAGTGGGCATGTCATTCGGGGGAGGGAGCAGTCAGTAGAGACTACAGCGGCCTCTGTGGCCTGGCAGGTGTTCAGTGCTAGGGAGACAGACAAAGCGGGGAGCAGGCTGTAGTGCCAAGGACAGAGTGAAATGTAAGAACTGGGATGTAGGCCAGAGGTGCGGGGGGCGAGAAGATTCACCAGAGACAGAGTGGGGAGCAGAGCAGGTGCATCCTCTGATATCTGTTGCGGGGAGACAGGAGAGGTCTTCTGCACCATGTGGGTCACCTCTCTGGCTCTGGATTGAACTTGTGCTTCACAGTGCTGAGATTTAATCCCCTGCACCACCAGGGAGGCCCCACCATGGTGAAATTTTTTATTTTAAATTTATTTATTTATTCACACAGAACTGGAGTACAGGCCAGAGATGTGGAGGGTGAGAGGATTCACCAGAAATAGAACAGGGAGCAGAACAGCCAGATCAACGAAGTCCACTGCTGAGGGGAGCAGCGGGCAGGTCAGGAGAGGTCTGCCACCTGTGTGGTCACCTCCGGGGCAGGCGGGGATTGAACTCATGCGGCAGTGGTTTTAGCTTCTTAGTGCTGTGCTTTAACCCGCTGCGCCACCAGGGAGGGCCATGGTGAAGTTTTTTAAGGGAGGTCAGAGAAGATCTTGCTGATCTTCACTTTGAAAAAGCTTGAAGGGGGTAGAACTCAAGCACGTGGACATCTGGGGCAGCAAAGCGGGCAGCCAGTCTAAAGATTGAAAGGCAAAACACACCCTGTGTATTTGAGGGACAGCGAAGGGGGCAGTGCTGTGGCATGGTGCAGGGCCAGAGAAGAGCCTTAGTGCCTGCGTTAGGAAGCAGCTCCTAGAGCCTGGTGTCGTGGGCGGCCCGGAGCAGGAGAGGGCAGCCGCGGCCCGGCAGGCGGCAGCGGTTGGGAGAAAGTGGAGGGAGGAACTTGGGTCCTGTTCTGTTGCCTCCTGTAATTGGAGAATCTGTGATGATGAGGTAAGACTTCTGCCCATGACTGCGTGTGCGCGTGTAAATCTAGGGGGGCTTCCTAGGAGAGGGTGTGTGTGTGTGTAAATCTAGGGGGGCTTCCTAGGAGAGGGTGTGTGTGTGTGTAAATCTAGGGG